TTGGATCGCCCAGCTCCAGCCATTGCGGCCAACTGGGGAGTGAACCAGTGGATGGAAGACCTTTCTCTGTCTCTGCCTCTCCTTCTCTCTGTGTAACTCTGACTTTCAAATAAATAAAATAAATCTTTTTTTTTTTTTTTGACAGGCAGAGTGGACAGTGAGAGAGAGAGAGACAGAGAGAAAGGTCTTCCTTTGCCGTTGGTTCACCCTCCAATGGCCGCCGCGGCCGGCGCGCTGCAGCCGGCGCACCGCGCTGATCCGATGGCAGGAGCCAGGAGCCAGGTGCTTTTCCTGGTCTCCCATGGGGTGCAGGGCCCAAGCACCTGGGCCATCCTCCACTGCACTCCCTGGCCACAGCAGAGGGCTGGCCTGGAAGAGGGGCAACCGGGACAGAATCCGGCGCCCCGACCGGGACTAGAACCCGGTGTGCCGGCGCCGGAAGGTGGAGGATTAGCCTAGTGAGCCGCGGCGCCGGCCCAAATAAAATAAATCTTAAAAAAAAAAAAAGAGCCCCATGCTGACAGCACGCGTACACTTATCAGCTATTGACAGTGACAACAACTTTATGAGAGGACTTCAAAATGCTCAAGAGAGGTGGAACTACAACATTAGCTGCTTTTGGCGTCCAAAATTTTGAAATCCATACTTCAAGAAGTACACGGAAAATGCATATGGTGAAAAAAACCATACAGAGATTCCAACATTATGTTGGTACCAAAACAAGTTTATCATTAAGTTCTATTTTTTCACAAGCTTTTTTTTTAAAAAGGTTCATTTGTTTATCTGAAAACACAGAGTGACAGAGAGAGAGGGAAAGACACAGAGAGAGAGAAAGAGGGGGAGAGAGAGAAACTCTTCCATCTGCTAGTTCACTCCCCAAAAACGCCAAGCTGAAGGCAGGAGCCCTGAACTCCATCCAGGTCTCCCCCAGGAGTGGCCGATGATGAGACCATCATATGCTGCATTCCAGGCTCACCAGGAGGAGCTGGACTGGGAGCAGCACAGCCAGGATTCAAACAAGTGCTCGGATTTGGGATGGGGACGTTCCAAGTGCTGGCCTGCCCTGCAACGTTACAAAGCACACCCCAGTCACAAACATTTTGAAGTCTGTGAATGAGGCTTGTTTTTAAGAATCTTGAAAAAAGCACATACAGACTTTCCAAAGGTTAAAAGCAGAAAGGGGCCCTGTGCGCCGCCTATAAACCCCGCTATGAATGGAGCCGTATGTTTCCCATTTAACCAGCAGGCACCACGTTGGCTGGATTTCCTTTCTGGAGCCAGTGCACAGAAGGCCACAGGGTGTCTTTGTTTTTAGCAGCTCTGACTTACACCACTATTTATAGACTTGCCATTTTCCATACTTAGAATACTTTCCACCAGGCAGTAAGTGAACTTGCTGGAAGCCTTCCACTTCCTGCCCATTCAGAAGAGGCCAACTGCCCCTGACAAGGGGATCCAAGTCCCTGGAACCCTGCACCAGCTCACACCAGTGTCTTCCCACTTGTCCACACAAGATCACTTTTAGGGCAACCTGCCTCAGGGTTGCCAGATCAAACACAGGGCATCCAGTTAATTTGGATTTCAGGTCCCTGATTAATTTTAATTAATTATTTATTTTATTTTTATTTGAAAGGCAGAGAAACAGAGATAGACAGAGATTTTCCATCTATTGGTTCACTCCCCAAATGCCCTGGTCAGCCCATATGGGTGACACATTGGCAGGTGACTGGGTAGGGAGCCAAAGTGGGCCTTGAACCAGGCACTCCCATGTGAATGTGTCTGTCCCAAGTGGGGACTCAATCTACTGCCCAAATGCCCATTGCAACTTCTTTTAGGATAACATTGCCCCAAATATTGTAAGGACAGATATTCATTGTTCTTCTGAAGTTCAAATTTAACAGGGCATCCTGGACCTTCATTTGCTAACGTGACAACCTTAGCCCTGCTGGGAAGGGGTGGGAAGAATTCCCAGCGGCAGGGCCCTTAGGCCACACTCTCCCGCCTCCTGGCCCTGCCGATTTCTGGTCTCCTACTGATCTCTACCCACCTGGACTTGCCAGTGTGCAGCAAGAGAGCACTGTCGCCTGAGTAAGCAGCCCTCTGGTTACCTACTGTTAACACTGGTTACCTAGTGTCTCAATTGGACTCTTGTCACTATATTTAGGACACCTTCTTTCCCCCCTGTCCTTTGGTAGAAGCCATTATCCACCCATCCCCCCACCCGCCCACCCAGTCACCCAGCCAGTGACGAGTACTTATAGAACCGCTTCTAAGAACCAGACACCATGTAGCTAATCTGCAACGTCCTGGGAATGTGAATGTGAAGGATTCATGTGCTGTCTTGGAGCCAGCTTCTCGGGAGCCCTCCAGACTGCAGGAAGCAGCTGTCACGGTCAGCAGAACAGTTCTGATCCCGGCAGCTCTGGACCTGTCCGTGTTGAGCCTGTGTATCACACAGGCCACCTGTTGCCCCAGAACTGCTGCCAACATAGGAGCTGTGCGGTGCAGGGAGGCTGAACGCTAGAAGAGACCATTTTCCTGAGTCAGCTGGGGAAGGCGGACTGTACGAACAATAGATCAGCCACACATGGGATTCCACCAGGAGTTTACTTCTCATTCAGAGGCCATGGTTCGTAAGTCGAGGTGCTAGGCAGGGGGAGGGGTCGACAGGCGGCCTACCTTAGCACAGGCACCCAGGAACTCAGACAGGCAGGGGCTCTGCCGTCTTCCCTAGGTCACTTCCAAAGCTGCCCAGAGGCACGGCCATTCCAGCCAGAAGAGGATGAGAGCCAGCAGCATGCGTAGGGCATTTCTAAGACCAGGTCTGGCAGTGGCCAACGTCATTTCTTCTCTCATTGCACTGGCAAACCATGTGGCCCTCCCAGCTGCAGGAGAGCCCAGGCGAAGCCCCCAGGAAGAAGGTAAGAAAGTTGATTTGAGGAAAAAAGGTGGTGGGGGACGGGGGTGCTGCATTGTGGTGCGGCAGGTTAAGCTGCTGCTTGGGACGCCGGCATCCCAAATTAGAGAGGAAGATGATCCTAGGGCTTGGGCCCCTGCCACCCACTTGGGAGACCTGATGGAGTTCTGGGCTCCTGGCTTCATCCTGGTCCAGTCCCAGTCGTTAAGGCCATTTGGGGAGTGAACCATTGAACGAAATATTTCTCTCTCTCTCTCTCTCTCTCTCTGTGTCTCATTCTATCTTTCAAATAAATAAAAATAAAATCTTGTTTTAAAAACAGAGCATGGATTTTGGTTAACTTCTCTGAGTCTCAGCTTGCTCATTTGTGAAGTCCTACGCTGGCGGCCTCTCAAGGCCAATTGGTAAGATCTCTGCTGGGTCTTGCCCCCCGCAGGTCTGCCGGCATCCCCCAAGTACCCCTTCCCTGGGATTGGCCTTGCCCCCACCCCAAGGTTGCCCCGAGGACAGAGGGTAATGGACTTCTCTTCCATGTTTCTCATGTAGTCTGCTTCTGAAATTTCTTTTTAAAATTTTTACTTATTTGAAAGAAACAGAAAGAGAGAGAGAGAGAGAGAGAGAACTCCCATACACTGGTCATTCCTCAAATGCCAGCAATGGCCAGGGAGCCAGGAACTCAGTCCAGGTCTCCCATGTGGGTGGCAGGGACCCAGGCACTTGAGCCATCACCTGTGGTCTCCCAGATTCTAAATTAGCAAGAAGTGGGAATCGGGGTTGGAGATGGCACTGGAGCGCAGGCACGCTGTATGGGATGCAGGTGTTCCGAGCAGCATCTTCAATGCTATGCAGAAACACACTCCCCAGCTTCTGGGTTCTTTCCCTCCTCAGGATTGTCTCCTGGGGCCACTGCCTGTGACACTGGCATCCCATATGAGTCCCAGTTCCAGTCCTGGCTGCTCCACTTCTGATCCAGTTCCTTGCTAATGCACCTGAGAAGACAGCAGAGGATGGCCCAAGGACTTGGGCCTCTGACACCCACATGGGAGACCCTGATGGAGTTCCAGTCTCCTGACTTGAGTCTGGCCCAGCTCTGGTCATTACAGTCATCTGGGGAGTAAACCAGTGGATGGAAGATCTCTCTTTCTCTGTTTCTCCCTGTCTCTCTCTAACTATGTCTTTCAAATAAATACATCTATATCTATCTATATCTATATCTATATCATCTATATCTATATCTATATCTATATCTATATCTATATCTATCTATAAACTGGCTCCTGAAATGAAGCCACTGAGTTTCATGGTTTTCGCTCCAGTTGTTCATTTGCTAGCTGATTGCTTTGGAACTTGGATGCGTTTCTCCATGAAAGTGGCTGTAAGTGGGGTGGCTCAGCACCCCAGCAGCCCAGCCCCCCAGCTTGCAGCCCCAGGCACCCTGACGGGTGGGCTGGAGCAGATGCTGGCACTTAGATGGTTCCCATGGCAGCATCAGAGAAGGCCACGGAAGGGAGTAGGGGTGGAGTTCAGGGGCCCCAGAGAAGGATGCTTTGTGAGTGGCTGGTTCCCATGGCAACTGCAGGCAGCCTCCCCAGCAGCCAGGAACCCAGTAGCCCAGCTAGGAGCTGTCAGGAAGCTCAGGGTTTGGGAACCTGGAACCACCTGGGGCTGTAACATGGAGCAGCTCGTCTTTCAAGCTGGGGCATTTCTAGTACCAGAGTGCCTTAAACAGCTCTGCTTCCAAACCAGCTTTGCTGGAGCATCTGCATGCCAAATACGGTGTGGGGTGCTGCACCCAGGAAAAGACATAGTCACCAGCTCCTGCCTGGCAGGGTGCCCAGGCTGAAGGGTGAGCTGCACACAGAGGGATGGTGCCGGTCTTGCCCCCAGGGAGGAGGAGGACAGGAGGGAGAGTGGGAGGCATTCGGGAGGAGAGGACTGGTTTGGGCCAAGCAGGGGCCACAGCATATGCAGAGGATCAGAGAGAGGTGACCAAGCTCTTCTGAGGGGAGGGCAGCGGCACCACCTTCAGATCTTAGGTTCTGTTCTGGGAGGATGTGGGCCTTGGAACTTTCTCAGGGGGAATCAGTTGGGGATTATAACTCCAACAGACCCTTAAATACTGTTTGCTAGGTTAACTAGCCTCAGGTTTCTTGGATTCATGGAAAGGGCCCATGGCCGGGGACATTTGGCCCACATCTCCGCTCCAGACTCCAGCTTCCTGCTAACGTGCACCCTGGGAGGCAGCAGCCATGGCTCAAGTACTTGCATCCCTGCCACTCACGTGGGAGACCTGGGTTGAGTTCCTGGCTTCCAGCTGTGGCCCCAGCCCCACCCCAGCCACTGCAGGCATTTAGGGAGTCAGTCTGCAAATGGGAGCTCTCTTTCTTTGTCTCTCTGCCTCTCAAATAAACAAATAAAATGTAAAAACAAAAAGAAAGGAAGAAAAACTCAAGGATGTTTCTCCATTACTTGACCAATCTGCCCATCCAGCAGTTCTGTCTACACCCTCTAATGATCAGGGTTGTGCTCTGGCCTAGAGGTTAACGCTGAGCCCCTCTGAAGACCAGGAATACTGTCTGTGTTCTCTCAAAGCGTGCGAGAAAGAAAAGCCCTTTTCATCCCCTGTGTATGGAGCTTCCCTGAACGGGATTCCCTGTCTTACCAGTACTTCCTGTGGGGAGGAGTGCTTCTGCCTCCCCCACACAGCCGGCACCCACCCTCTCACCAGGCTCGACTGCCCCACTTGGCCGTGGGTTCTTGAAGTTCATGTCCATCTTTTGAGCCTTAGTTTCCTGTTCTAGGGGAAAAGGGACACCCAAGGCGTGGGATCATAAATGCGACCGCGTGTTGCTTGAAGAGGGACACACTCGGAGAAATGTGTCGGGTGACTTTTTGATCCTGTGACCATGGTTCGTGCACTTTCACAAACCAAGAAGCCCATGGCATCTCTAGGCAATGTAATCTCGAGATACGACCTCGGTGAGTATGTGGTCTGCCACTGACGACAAGGTCATGACGTGCATGATGGTAGCGTGTGTTAAATGCTTTCACACAGGAAGCAAATGATAGTTGCTAAGGGAAGGCATTTCAACAGTCCTAAGATAATGTGGCAAAAGATTTCTTGAGCTCTTATATAGCATGCCAAGGGCCTAAAGGGGAACATGCCCCTGCCTTAGCAGCCGGGGAAGTCCTAGAACTGCTACCTATCCTTGCAAGGCTCCGGGGGGCTCTCCTGCCCCTGCCATGCATGGTGGCCTGTGACTGGCAATTAAGGGGCAGGCGGTACAGCAGGGTGAGAACATTCTGTGCAGCAGGAGCTCTCGAGAACTGACAGTCACAGAGACAGAAAAGCACCCAGCCCCTCAGCTCCAGCCCAGCTCCTGTGGAGGAAGAGCCTGGAGGTGGGAGGCTCTGTGTCAGTGCTATGGAGCACAGAGCCTGCTGACCTACTAGGAAGGTACAGGCATTCCAGAACTCTCAGAAAATTCTGGAACATTCTGGTACATTCTGGAATGCATTCTTTCTGGAGAAGCCAGAGGGCAGGGAGGAGAGCACAGGATTCTGTTTGTGAGGAAGGGATTGGGCAGCTGACTTGTTGGCGTGTGAGGTACTCCTCCAAGGAGGACCACAGTGGTCCAGAACCATGTCTGCAGGGGTCTACTGCAGACAGGGAAGCAAACCCCAATGCTGCAGTGCAGCCAGGCCTAACCTGGGGCGTCGCTGTCTCACCCACCACATGCAATGGTAGAGATCTAGATCCTGGGCATGTTCCCCTTTCCAGAGGCGAGTGAGCAGGCAGCTAAGGAAAAAGGGCAGGTCCCGTCTGTGGTCCCGGGAGACCAGAACAAGTGCTCTGTCTCCACTTCTCTGCTACGCCATTTTCTCCCCCTCGCCTTTGCAAGGACCTGAGTGTTGCCACCGGAGTCCCTCCACTCTGGGGGCCACTGGTGAGTGACCCTGACCCTGACCCAGGAGCATTGACAGGCGGAGCTCATCAAGGCTGAACCCCAAAACTTCCCATCACCCAGGTGGCCCTGGTGGCAGCCAAGGTGGCTCTGCATGCTGTCACAGGGCCTTGCTTCCAGGTCCTCAGTGAACACAAGGGTGTTTCATGAACAAACAGAACTGAGAGAGAAATGAAAATATTTTGGTGTTAAAAACTATGTGAAATCCATGCATAGTTTTTTTATAAGTTCTTTGTCAGATATTTTGTAACTATTTTTTAAAAAGATTTATTTATTTATTTATTTGAAAGTCAGAGTTACACAGAGAGAGCAGGAGAGGCAGAGAGATCTTTCATCCACTGGTTCACTCCCCAATTGGCCTCAATGGCTGGAGCTGTGCTGATTGGAAGCCAGGAGCCAGGAGCTTCTTCCAGGTCTCCCACACGGATGCAGGGGCCCAAGGACTTGGGCCACCTTCCACTGCTTTCCAAGGCCATAGCAGAAAGCTGGATTAGAAGTGGAGCAGCCGGAACTCGAACCGATGCCCATACGGGATGCTGGCATTGCAGGCTGCAGTTTTACCCACTACGCTGCATCACTGGCCCCTCCATGCATAGTTTTTGCAGCATATGCACTTCCTATGAACTTGTTGAAGAACTTATAGGGGAAATTCTTAACTAGGACCCCAAATTTTAACCTAAAAATAGGAGCTTGTGTTCTAGGCGGGTACGTGGAGCTGTGTGTGAGCGTGCTGTAGAGGCAGGACTCAATCCCGCTCATTTTATATCTAGAGCTTATATAATCGTGGGTGCATTATCTCAGAGCCTCAAGGTATATGCAAAAGGCATTGTCTCTGGGCTGACACTGTGGTGTAGCCGGCAAAGCCACTGCCTGTGACACTGGCATCCCATATGAGTCCCGGCTGCTCTACTTCCCTTCCAGCTCCTTGCTAATGTGCCTGGAAAAGCAGTAGAAGATGGCCCAAGTCCTTGGGCTCCTGCACCCATGTGGGATATGCAAAAGAAACTCCTGGCTCCTGGCTTCAGCATAGCCCAGCCTGGGCCATTGTGACCACTGGGGGAGTGAACCAGCACATGGAAGACCTCTCTTTCTCTCTGTGTCTCCCTCTTTCTCTGCAACTCTGCCTTTCAAATAAATATTTTACAAAAGAAAAAGCCTTATGTCCACCAAGTGCACAGACAGCAAACTCGGTGTGCGTTTTGCAGATGCACTTAGTATCATAACGAGAGGAGGAGGCTCAGTGAGGGCAGGTCCTGGGAAAACACTGGTCTGTTCCGGTGCTCTGACCCCTGCACACTCCCTTCCTGTTGCCCCGGCAAGGCGTCCACTTGTGTGGATCAGGCTGACCTTGGCACACACCGGTGGGACACTGGGGTCAGCGGCTGGGGTGCTGAGTCTCCACGCTGGGCAAGGAGGCCAGGGAACGGTGCCCACCCCCGCCTCCAGGGGCCCCTTCGAGAGCCAGGCAGGGCTTCTGGATCTCATTACGCCACCCTGCCTGCAGCCTGGATGCCGGGTGCGGCGCCGGGGCCTGGTTTCCATCACTCGGCTGTTGACTCGGCCTGCAGCTGTCATCTCAAGGCGCATTCCAGGTTCGTGGTGTAAGAGGAAGGCGTGCCTTTGTCTACAGCCGGGGAGCCAGTCCGGATTGAGTGTCCGATGGTCCTCCCAGGCTTGCCCGGCTCTTCCTCCTCCACCTGCGTCCTGTCATGCAGCTCTGATTCCAGGGGCAGGCCAGAAGGATTCTTGGAGGGCACAGGCTCCGCCCACTCCCCTCCCCCCACCCCCAGTCTGCCTTAGATCTGCCTAAGAGCTAAGAAGTGGCCAGATGAATGCGCTGTGTGATTTGTTCTGGGCTCCCCAGGGAGTCCTTGGGCTCCACATCTTTATTGGAAACACCCAATAAACCACTGGCCTCAAAGCTCCCTGTTGTTTTAGTGCACGCCTTAAATGCAGTCTCCTTCAGGCGGTCAAGGTACCTTTGACCAAACTGCCACTTGTAGTCTCACACCGGATGTAGCTCCCAAGCCCCCAGCCCGTGCTAACAGAGCCAGTGGGGACCAGAGGAGGCTCCCACCTGCTCTTCACATGCAGGGGGTGATTTCTGGGTGCACTCACTCGCTCATTCTCCTCTGTTCATGAACATGAACCTGGGCTCATCCATCATCAGGGATGCAGGACCAATTGCACACACACTGAGCACCCACTCACTTGCCCACGCGAGACTTTCCAGGCAACAGCCTGGGCAGGGGTACCCCGGGGGCAAAAGGACAGTGTGCATCTGGGTCAGAGCCAGCCTAGGCAGCTCTCCGATAGTCAGAGGCAGAGGGAGATCGCCTGACCAGAGAGCCAGAATGTTCAGGTGTCTGTGTTAAGTAGCACCCTAAGAAAAAAATGCATATTTCAGCTACAGCGATGCCCTGTTGTGCAGGCCGCTGGCCAGGGGCATTGGTGACTCATGATCGGAGGGCGCCTTAGTGGCTGAGCTTAGCAGAGCTCAGGGACGTGACATGGACAAGCACTGGCTGCAGAGGCCAGCGCTAAACAAGTCAGGGCTGGCTCCTGGTGCGCAGGAATCTGGGGTCAATTAGGGATCAATGGTGCCAGAGGATTTAAAACAATTGCAACCAGCAGGGCAGCTCTGGTTGTATCAACAGCGGAATGCAGAATGCACAGAAACAATCGTACCAGTCCTAAACTGAATCAGCGTTCCACCCTCCACAAGGCCCCTGTCTCAAAAAGCAGGCTTGCTCACAGCCAGGTTGAACCGCTAGGGACAGCAATGACCTGCTCTGTCGCTTATTCTTAGACGCGGACGTCAAAATCACAGTCCCTAGGGGATATGTCTATGATGTCTGGTGAATGATGGAATCTAATCTAATCTGATCTCATTCCACTTTTCCCTTCTCCGGTGCAGGTTTCCATAATTCTTTTTTTTTTTTTTTTTTTTTTTTTTTTTGACAGGCAGAGTGGACAGTGAGAGAGAGAGATAGAGAGAAAGGTCTTCCTTTGCCGTTGGTTCACCCTCCAATGGCTGCCGCGGCCGGCGTGCTGCGCACTGATCCGATGGCAGGAGCCAGGTACTTCTCCTGGTCTCCCATGGGGTGCAGGGCCCAAGCACTTGGGCCATCCTCCACTGCACTCCCTGGCCACAGCAGAGAGCTGGCCTGGAAGAGGGGCAACCAGGACAGAATCCGGCGCCCTGACCGGGACTAGAACCCGGTGTGCCAGCGCCGCAAGGCAGAGGATTAGCCTAGTGAGCCGCGGCGCCGGCCTCCATAATTCTTTGACTGGCAAGAATGATAGGCCATTTCTGTGGCTGTGCCTGCCCGACGCAATGCTCACTGGATGGAAAGGCTGGATTTTTAACTGCAGACAATCCATGACTGCAGGGCATCCAGCAGGGGGCGTTGCAGGGAGGGAGTGGAGAGCCACTCAGGGGCTGGAGGGGTAAGCGGGGACTCCTGGTGCTATGGTTTGCATGTAAGTTTGGGTGTTTTCCAGAGGCCCACATGCAAAAGGCTTGGTTCTTAAAGTCTCGCATTAACGGTAAATGGATTCAGCATGCCGACTTCATCCAGTTACGGCATCGGAAGGTGGGGCCTTTAGGGACTGATTGCATGGATGAGGTTGCTGGAATGCTGGAATCATGGCTGCTTTATAGGGAGAGACGGTGCAGACCTGAACGGCCCGTGTGTCTCTGCCTCTCTGCTCCCTGGCTCGCCACGGCCCCTTCCTTGCACGCAAGCTCCACCATTGCCATTCTCCAGCCCTGCCAGGTGGCCCTCTAGATCTTGGACTGTGAACCTCTAAAAACGCGAGTTAAAAAACACCTCCATCTTCCATAAGTTGGTGTCTCAGGTATTTTGTTATACATTTGCCCACCAGGAATCAGAGACCGCTGGAGGCAGGGACCCAGAAATTCAAGCAAAACCACCCAGGAGAATGACGGAACCCTGCTAGGTCTCTCATACCCTTCAGCTACCTTCCTGGCTCAGAATGAGTCCCGGTTGCTCCACCTCGTCCCTGTCTTGGATAGAGGTGCCTTGGTCCTGTGACAGCAGCCTTGGGGTCTGAATCGGGGCTGCCACCCCCTCCATCCCTCCACCTCTCTGCATTGTACCCAGAGGGAGCACACCTGGCCCAGCCTAGGCAACCAGGGCCCTTCCCTGAGATTCACCTGAAACACAGCGGCTGAGGAAGAGGTGTTCCTTTTGGAAGACGGGGAAGAACCTAGAAGCCCCTGGTGGCAGTGTTGCTTCCCTCCTGGGGAAAAAGTTCACCTGCCTTTTGGCCGGAATGAAGCCAAAATGCAAAGAGAAGCAAATGGCAAGGAGAGCCAGAAGGTCCTGTCCGAGTTGGAATCGAGTGGTTCAAATGCTGGGGGACTCTCGCCTTTCTTGGGCCATATGAGCTCCTGTGGTTGCTGTATTTCGTATCCAAGTTCATGTTGTGGTCCCTGATGTTACACTTGCTAATAGCTTCTTAGCATTGTACATATGTCACGTTGCTGTTGTCTGTGGTGCACAATTGTGGGCAGCCAAGCACTCATTCATTCTGGAAGCTCTCAGCATGGGACTTGGTTTGGGAGACCAGCCTAGAAGACAGTGAGTATGACAGCAGCCGGAGACTCTGAAGCCAAGTTCTGTAAGGCTTAGGAGACAGACACGCGGGCTTCTTACCAGCAGTTTGTTACCGACTCACTTATAAAGCAGGAGCAAGAAAGGGTTCTTTGAATATGCACATTTGATATGTAGCAGGGAAGGTCAAAGCAGCAAGCAAAGGTCAACCTGAGATGATGTTGAGACCTTGGTGACCACTGGGGTTGGTTGTCTCCGTGGAGGGTGACAACCATTAATCTCCACCTGCAATGAAGAGTATGCAGGTAGGGATCTGGACGGAAGATTTCCCTGTTCTTTCTAATCCATCCTCCAAAGCTCAGCTCAGCTCAACACGTGAGAACTCAGCTGTGCCAGGCTGACGCAGGCAGGTAAGTCCTAGCCTCCCAGACAGACCCATCACTGTCCAGGCTGTTCCCAAATCCTTTAGCAGGTGCTCCGTCTCCCCGCCCCGAGCCCCTCCGTCTCAGTCCGTTCTGTGTTCTGTAACAGAGCACCACAGACTGGGGAGCTGGTAAAGAGAACTTCTTCTTTCGCAGTCCTGGAGCCTGAACAGGTTTAGGGATCTGGCTCTGGTGCAGGCTTTCTTGTTGCATCAGCCATGGCAGAAGGCAGAAGGGCAAGGGAGCCCGTGTGAGAGAACAAGAGAGCAAGAGGCCGCTGAGCTTGCTTGCACAGCCGGTCTGCTCCGTCAGTCACAGCACCGATCTCTCCACGAGGGCAGGGCTGTCTTGGGAGGTCGGCCTCCCCTGCCAGCAATGATGCATTCGGGGTTAAGTTTCCAACGCTTGCCCTTTGTCGGACACGTCTGGTCTACACCACCGTCAGAATAAAGTCAACGGGAAGCAGCTCAGGGGCCCCTGCAGGAGCTCTGCGTTCCCCTTCCTCAATCCACCCCTGCTGTGAGGACCAGCCACCCACACTGACCATCTCCTCCACTCCTTGCCCCCACTGACACGCCACCCCTCTGCTAAGTCTCCACCAATCCCCCTCTTGTAGATCTTAAATCACACACACACACACACACACACACACACATCTTTCCAGTGGCATTTCTATAATATTTGCCTTTAAACCTAGCAGCTTCCCGGGTGGGTTTAAACCACAGCTCATCACCCATCTGGTTGTGCCCGTCTATACTGCTTCCTCCTGGGGTCTGCCAGCAAGTGTGCCATGTGTGGATTGCCCCCAAAGTGGCAGCAAGGGCAAGGGGACCCAAGGTGCAGACTTGCGACTCAGCTGTGAGATCTTGGGAGGCTGCCGCACGCCCAGTCCTGGTCAGGCTGCTTGGGGCTCTGCTCCACCTGCCTGAAGCTGCTCCCCCCACCCCCTCCCCAACCCTGGCCTTGTGTGCCTGGTGGCCTCTGCTGTCAGAGAGGCTGACCTCATCAGGGGGCGCTCCTGTCACCTCTGCTCCCGCCTGTCTTCCTCTGAACTCTTCCAGTCCTCTGCAGACCCCTTGTCTCCTGAGCTGTCACCTGTCCTTGCGGAGACTCGGCTCCCCCGCCCAGCCAGCAGCTCCCGAGGTCAGAAAGGCCACTCAGTTCATCTGGGCCCCCCTGCTGCCACTGGGAGACATGGCAGGTGGCCAGGACTTCCTTCCGGAGTCTGTGTGTGTGTGTGTGTGTGTGTGGCTGTGGCGGTGCAGGGCTGCCTTCCTCTCTCAATGCCCGCCCCAGGAGCTGCGGGACTCCGAGAGTGGCACTTAACCTCTCAGTGCCGTTCTTTCTTGGTGACCATAATCGTCCCTGCTCTGGCTGTGGTAAGGATTAAAAGGCTCAATCTATGCGAAGTTCCCAGCCCAGCGCCTGGAGCTTAGCAGACATGCAAGAAGCGTGCCAAGTGCCTTCTGCCCAGAGGAAGCTTTACTTACCTTTGCTTTCTGTTTGTCCCGATTCAAGGGGTTGTTTCCTAGACAGTCAACAGACACGGCGTTCTGCTACCTCTCCGTCGCCAGTATCCGGCGGACTCCCGGCGCTGGCATAAACACCATCTCTGGAAGCCGGCACACTTTGGCAAGGGCTGGCTTGTTGCTCCCTGGCTCCTGGAACACTGGGATCCCTGAAGGCAACCACAAGAAGTGTGCTTAAATATCTACTGTGCTCGCAGTCACTCCGGCATGATCGCGCTCAGAAGCCAACCAGAGAAGCAAGACAGCTCCCTGCTTGGCGGAGCGGATGTCGTGACGTCTCATCCATAGCCTGGGTGACCTGTTGCTTTAAAATAAAAAATTAACGGTGGTGATGTCCACTCAAACCCAACAACAGGTGTCAGGCATGCTGGGTTCTGGTAATCTGAACAGCTTCCTGGCACCGCTTTCCCAGGAGTCCTAGGTTCCCAGTGTGGATTCTGGGTGCCAAAGATTGAGGCAGGCAGGGTGGGATGCGGAGCAGATTTGTTCCAGCAAAGCCGAGCACCTGGCCAGAGCCTTATCTACCAATGTTAACCACGGACATTAAGTTATTAGTATTGCTTCTGTTGTGCAGATAAGAAAGCCCCAGGCTGCGGGCAGCGGGCAGCATGGAGGAGGTAAGCCAATGGACCCGAAGGCACACAGCTGTAGGAGCGGGGCCAAGATCTGGTTCCTGGCCCCCTGCCTCTGACAGCAGAGAACCAAGACTGACAGGAGAAAGTTCCAGCGTCCTTTTGCAGGGCTCCCTAAGGAGAGGGGTCCCACAGGGGTACAGCAGTGGCCCGTTCCACAATTGGAGGTTGGGAATTCCTCTTGACCCTGGGGCTTCCCTGTATAGCTCTTGCATTGAAGAGGGAGGGCTCACGATGGCGCCTGGCCAGGGCTGTGAATGGGACAGGGTGAGACACCCAGCGGCACTCGGGCAGCCCTAGGAGGCCAGGCCCTCTCCAGGGTGGCTGAAACCCACACCCTGGGGGGCTTTTGGAGGGATTCTGCTCACTCTCCCGCTCTCTGCTCGCTCTCTCTGATCTTCCCCAGGAACACCCAGGTAAGAGCAGCAGCCAGGCTCCTGGGAGGTGTCAGAGTTAGGAGGGGGGGGTAGTGGCAGCCACAGACTGCTGATGTCTTCATGGGGAGGCTGCCCTGGAGGGCCCTGCAGCCTCTGTGAAGTCCTCCCTCCTCCCAGGACCAGGATTCCCACACTGGAAAGGAAATCTGAGCTGACCTTGGGTGAAGGGCTTCTTTGCCCACTCCCACCTCTGCACCCCCACCCCACATCAGTAGACACTTAAAAAAAAAGATGTATTCATTTATTTGACTGAGTTACAGAGAGAGGGAGAGACAGAGAGAGATCTTCCACCCACTGGTTCATTCCCTAGATGGTCACAACAGCCAGGGCTTGGCCAGACCGAAGCCAGGAACCAGGAGCTTCTTCCGGGTCTCGCACACAGCTGCAGGGGCCCAAACACTTCGGCCATCTTCTACTGCTTTCCCAGGCCATTAGCAGGGAGCTGGATCAGAAGTGCAGCAGCTGGGACTCGAACCAGCGCCCATATGGGACACCAGGCACTGGCATTACCCACTAAGCCTCCGCGCCGGCCACCATTGGCCAGTCCTGTGTCCTTGAAGCTGGGCTGGTGCCGCTGGCGGTGGGGGTGGGGGAGTCTGCCCTTCTAAACAAGTTCTCCTTCCCTGGGTGACTTTGGAAACTGCTGCCCTTGCCACCTCCCTGGCTTTGCCCTGGCCACAACAGCACTTGCCACAGTCAGCTGGCTGGGCTCACTGTTCCTGCATTCAGAGCCATGGCCTGGGCTGGCAGTGTGAGGGGCAGGCCAGTGCTCGGAGCCCACCGGCGCCCTGATGCTCTGTGGTATTGGAAGAGTTAATGGTCTCCCTGGAAGCTGGGATTCCAAGGAGTAATTGGAGCCCTGGGAAAGCAAGGCCCTGAGGTTGCTGGGGTGGGGTGGGGCTGTGAGCCTGGTCCTGGGGGGCTCTCACCTTGGCCCTGATGCACGCTCTGCAATGGACCCTAGAGGTGTCCACGGCGCAGACGAAGCCCACGTGTGTAGCAGGCATCCGTGTGCATCCCCACATTTTGTGCATGTTCTGAAAAGGACAAATAATAGCAATAATAGAGTGGGGCCGTGATTAAAACAGGAGCAATGGGACAGGCAAGAGGCAGCAGTGACTTGTCAACCCCCCCCCCCCCCCAGTGTAGACTCTCGCAGCTTTCTTGACTTTTTTAGGGTTGTAACTGCCTGGGTGACTAAAACAAGACTCTATGAGGCCCTTTCCTTATGAGGGGGAAGAATGACTTCCGGAGTTTAGGGCTTTGTCAACCGAGTAGAGAGAGTGGAAAGCGCTTCCCCCACTCCTCACCTCCTACCCCAGGCCTGAGGATTCCTGGATTCCTGGGCAGGAAGGGAGGCGGCATGGGACAGGAAATGCTTCCAGCCTCCTGGGGGCGCTCCTCAATATCCCACGCTGTGGCTTGCGGAGCCAGGTGCTGGGATGCGTGGGCGCCCACAAATGCTGACAACGCAGCCAGTGGGAGAGCCTGAGAGACAGCGGCCGGCGGCAAGGGGATGTGTCTGCTGGGGCACAGACACCCCTGGCGGGTGACATTTGCACATACAAACATGTATTCTAAGAAAAATGTGTGTCTTTTTTGGCAAATCCCGTTTTCAACACGACTTAGAAAAATCGGTTTTTCTTCTCTCTTTTTCCTGCCTGAACCGGCAGCTTAATTATCCTCTCTTTGGGCCTGGCCAATCATATAAAATCCTTGGAAATTTAAACACCCTCCCAGGACCAACATTCCAAAGGAGGCGGGAGGTGCGGGCTAGCAGGGGCTCCAGAAACAGTCTTCGTTAGGTTTTACTGCTCCTGGAAATAAGCAGAGCCCCTGGGCGGAGGGGCGCGGTGGACTGGGAGGGGAAGCATTTCCTCTGCTCCCTTAGGGAAGCTGGCCTGTCCTGTGCCTTGCGCCCCCTCAGAGCTGCCCTCCCTCGGGGACCAGGCTGGATCTGGGCAGGCCCCCTTGGAGGACCACAGCCCCAGGGGAGCAAAGCCCTGGTGTGTGCTAGGAGACCAGCGCCGCGACCCAGGGACTTGGTCCCTCCGTTTCCCGCAGCATCTTGGTCTGGCTGCTTTAACTCGCGCATCCATCCCACAGATACCACTGAGCACCTACTAGCTCCAGATTTTAGGGTGGGTCTTTGAGATTCAAGATCTGAAGACTGCAAAAGTGTCTCTATACTTGTAGTAGCAACAGGAGCCAAACCCATCCCTGTGGGGAGATAGTTTTTGAATCACCCTTGCCTGCCTTTCTATTTATTTCATGATTAATAAAAAAGATTTATTTATTTATTTCAAAGGCAGAGTGACAGAGTCTCTCTCTCTCTCTCTCACACACACACACACACACACACAATCTTTCATCCACTGGTTCACTCCCCAAATGGCCACAACAACCAGGGCTGGGCCAGGCTGAAGCCAGGAGCCAGCAACTCCACCAGGGGCTCCCACATGGGTGACAGGGACCCGAGCACTGGGCCCATGGTCTGCTGCTTTCCCAGGTGTATTAGCAGGAAACTGTCAGGAGCAGGACAGCTGGGGCTGGCAGTGGCACTCCAACATGGGTCGCGTGGCAGGGTAGCAAGAGGTGGCTTAGCCCACTGCCCCACTACCTGATGTTTTTGAAACAGCCAGGCTGGTGAAATGGCTGGTTTGTGACACTTGTCAGAAAAATGTTTAAAGACCTTTTCCAAACCAGCCACCTCAGTTCCCTGAGAAATTAAAATGCGCTGTCTGAAACTCATAAGTCAGGAAAGCAAGGCTTTGCGTACTACGTGTGATTCAGAAAAGTCTAGAACACGCTGGGCGAGGCATGCAAGTCAAAGGGTGACCAAAACTAAGGCGCAGAGTACACTGGCAAAGGTGCCCACGGATCTGGCCGGGAACTGGAAAATTCCTCTTCCTGGAAAAGCTTCGCGGTCACAAACACTCCTGTGCCCTACATCCCACGCGAGGCCAGAGCCGGGTCTGCATGGATTCTTGCTGTCTCTCGTGCACGCTCTTCACTGTTCCTGGAAGGATTTAAGGTCGTTTACCAAGGAGACGGACACAAAACATTAAGTCAAATCTTTTTTTTTTGACAGGCAGAGTTAGACAGTGAGAGAGAGAGAGACAGAGAGAAAGGTCTTCCCTCCGTTGGTTCACCCCTCAAATGGCCGCTACGGCTGGGCTGGTGCGCTGCGCCGATCCAAAGCCAGGAGCCAGGTGCTTCTCCTGGTCTCCCATGCAGGTGCAGGGCCCAAGCACTTGGGCCATCCTCCACTGCCTTCCTGATCCGCAGCAGAGAGCTGGACTGGAAGAGGGACAACCAGGACAGAATCCGGCGCCCCAACCGGGACTGGAACCCGGAGTACCGGCACCGCAGGCGGAGGATTAGCCTAGTGAGCTGCGGCGCCCGCCCTAAGTCAAATCTTAAAACCAGAAGCAGAGGAAAAGCAGAGAAGCCAAGGGAGCCAGCGGTGAGGGTGAGGGGAAAGTGCACCGTGCTGGTTTATGGATTTCTCCGTCAGGCCCGCTCTGGGAGGTCACAGGGCAGGGCAAGCGGATGTGTGTTTAACATAAAAGCAGATCAATCGCTAAGAGATCATTGTTTTTGGAGCCCAGGAAAGAGAGGCGTTTTTCCTGCGGGTCCTTCCCTACCGTCCCTGTAATGCGCTATAGCCATAACCTTAACAGCATCCTGTACCCGACGTTCAGAGGCTGGGGCCGTGGGTCCTGCTTACGACCTGGAGCCCTCTTTCCTTGGCGCTCAGCCTGGTCCTGAGTCCCCCGCAGCCCTGGACACACACACTCCTCCAGGCAGCTCCACTTTGTCCAGTGCTCTCAGACTGGGCCCTCCAAAGTGACCACAGAGAAGGCAGCGGCAGCGTGTGCGGATGAGGGCAAGGTGCCCTGAGCATCCCGCATGCCCTACATACGCCAGCCCCTGGCGTTAGCACGCCTCTGGGCAGGGGCCGCCTCCGCAGGATCCAAGCAAACTCGCACGGAAGCCAGCGCCCAGCCAGGGCGGCGTGCAACAGTACCCACTCTCCGTTCCATCCTTGCCATGTTTTCTCACTC